AATGCTCAAAATTCAAACAAATTTCGATATAATTTTTTTCAGGATATTCATACAAATAGATCTGACATGCTCTTTCACAGTTGCGGTTACAGGTATAATAAATTCCGATCATATTATGCCCATTTTCATTTTCAACAATTGCCAAAATGGAAACGTTTTTGAACATTTACTGTAATTTTTTAAAGTATAATATTCATTTCGAGTTTTGGTTGTTCATATGCATTTTTAAGAATTTGTCATAATGAAATTAAAATTGAAATGTTTTAATTTTGGCGCAACAACTTATCGAATTATGTATGACCAGTTGATGGAGATTAAAACTCCATTAATGTTTTATTGTAACGTGTGATGGTAATAGTTTAAATAACTAGGTGGATTTCACAGGGTCTAACGATACTTAGAATATACGATAATTCAATAAACATAAAAATCTAAAAAAAATGAGATAAATTTGGAACAAATACATTGAAGATGAATTTTTTAAGACGAAAATTTCATTTTCGACATTTGCCAAAACGGAAACGTTTTTGAACATTTACTGTAATTTTTTAAAGTATAATTTCATTTGGAGTTTTTGGTTGTTCAAATGCATTTTTAAGAATTAATTTGCCATAATGAAATTAAAATTGTAATGTTTTAATTTTGACTCAACAACTTATCGGGTTATGTATCACCAAGTTATGTTAATAGTTTAAATAACTAGGTGGATTTCACAGGGTCTAACGGCACTTATAGTGTATGATAATTCAATAAACATAGAAATCTAAATAAAAAATTTAGATAAATTTGGAACGCATACATTGAAGGTGAGACAAAAGTCTGAATCTGGTTCGTGCTGAGGCAGTACAGTATTGGGGGTCATGAAGGCTTGCAAAAAATATAATAAAATTTCTAGGGTCATATTTAAAAGAATGAAGTTGATGATGGTCCTGGAGAGACAAAACGTTACATATAAAAATTGATTACGCCATTCGATAGAGGGGAAAAAGTGTCCATGAGAAAGTGTTCTTCATTTTTAAATATTATCTCAAACAAAGTTGAAATGAAACCAAAAACGGATTTCTAAAATTTCGTTTTTTTCAAATATTTCGAAAACTAATCTTGTTAGCCTTGATTTTTAGAGGCATAATGTTGGTCCCATGATTATGCAACTTTGCCACCATTAATCTGTTACTGTTTCCGAGATCCCTGTAGTGAGAAGCGAATTTGTAACAGTCTGTATACAGGGTGTCTCATAATTAGCTGCCAACCTTGAACAGGCCGATTCTATGATCAAAACTAAGTAAAAAAGTTCATATGAACATGGGTCCGGAAATGCTTCCTAAGGGCACAGGGACCCATTGAAGAGGGAGGAATGGAAATCATTTTTTTGCAATATCTCTCAATCGCGTTGTGATAAATGAATGAAATTTGGTATACACAGCTAAATTTCAA